TCTCGAACTGCTGAACTACCGACCTTCCACAGCCTGCAGTTCAGCGTCTTAACCACTTGAGCCACCACAGCTCCTTCTAGTACAGTGTATACCAGCGGCCCATAATGTAAGGAAGAAGGCAGACCTCCTTTTAACTATGAAGTCACCAGGGGGCATTAGGCCTCTGCCTGCAATTTGGGGGGAAATACAGAGGTATCTGCCATCGGAATTACTGAATTGAGATATGTAAATACCTGAAAAGAATATCTGAAACGAAATAACAGTTTTTATTAGATTAGTTGCAGATCTCAGCAGGCTTGGTAGAAATATCCTGTGAAGTAAGCATTATTCCACATCAGCTGGGCTCATAGCCTTCACCAGACTGGCCTTCCTACAACAGGCACAGAGACCTAATCCTTGCTGCAAAAAGGCTTCAAGCACTTGTCTTGGATATCTGACACTGCTGCACAAGCCCAAAGACTCTCTTAAAAGAGCTTCAGATGCACACTGTGCTTTGCTCTTGGCTAGCCCAAGGGGTGGCTCATATTTCTACCTATTTAAAGAAGCCGGAAAAGAAGACTATTGCACTGACACTTTCAGGGAAGACTCTGATTTTGCTTCTTAATGAGAGCCAGTTTGGTGTCGTGGTTAAGTGCGTGGACTCTAATCTGGGAGAACTGGGTTTGATTCCCCACTCCTCCACTTGCACCTGCTGGTGTGACCTTGGGTCAGTCACAAGCTCCGGCACAGCTGTTCCTGAAAGAGCAGTTTGTGTCAGAGTTCTCTCAGCCCCACCCACCACACAGGGTGTCTGTTGTGGGGAGGGGAAGGGAAATGAGTTTGTAAGCCGCTCTGAGACTCCAAGTGAAGGGCGAGGTACAAATCCAATCTCTTCTTCTTCTTCTTCTAATGGAAAATAGCTCAATGTACATAAAAGTTTTGTTTATGTTTCAATTCCCAGGTGCTTTGCAAATGCACATATAGGAATCTAAAATACATATTTAAAGACAAAGAAATGGCATATTATAGTTCTCCCCATCTTTATGCAATAGACCTGCCCATCTATGTTCTAAGTATGCTGAACTAAGAGGACTTTCACCTGTAGGGGGACGTTAATCCCTGTGGAGGATATCAATCCCTCAGTCTAGATTTTAAAGCTGTATCCACAGGAGCTTTTCTTAAAATATAAAATGGGACTTAGTCACCAGATCCATAGCCTTCCTTCCTTCCTTCCTAGGTTCTCAGAGTGTACAGGTTATCCCATGTTATCCTCACAAAAGTTTCTGCGAGGCAGGTCACGCACACGCACGCGCGCACACACACAGTGACTTGGTCAGAATCACCCAGTGACTGAATAGACTTGAATCCATCCCTTCATGGTTCGGGTCCCAGCTCTCCACTCGGCATCTGTACCCCCTCTAGCTTTCTGGGACAGACATGTCAGTTGTAGCGCCTGACCTGTGACAGAGCTCCACAACATTGACAGCCAGGGGCTTGCAGTGCTAGAGCCAGACTCTGGGTCAAATCCCCATTCTACCATTCTGCTCATTGGGTGACCTTGAGCCAGAACCCTCTCTCTCAGCCTTATCTACCTCACAGGGTTGTTGTAAATGGAAAATGGGGAAGGAAAGACCCTGGAGGAAGGGTGGGATACAAATGTAATAGGCTGATCTTTGCACTGGTTGTTCAACAACAGAACCCTTGCAACTTTGCAGGCTCAGGTCAAAGCCCACGACTCCTAACCTGGGAGCACTGGGTGAAATCATTTTCTGGAACTCGATACTAACCCTACATCCCATGATGCTTTCAGCACCATAACAGAGTTGTTTTCTGGACACTGGGGTTGTGACTGTAAAGGGCTGTCTCTCTAGTGTTCCCTCTAAGCTGAGTTAGTGTGAGCTAGTTCACAGCTTTTTAGCCCCCGTCTCACACATTTTTGTCTTAGCTCAGGAAAGATGGCTCTAGAGCAAACTAATTTATGCACTAGCCAAATCACTCGCTCACAACTTTAAAGCCAGTGGCTCACAAAGTAGAATCTTTGCTCACAAGGCACCACAGCTTAGAGGGAGCATTGATGGTGAGCAGTGTTCCCTCTAAGCTGAGTTAGTGTGAGCTAGTTCACAGCTTTTTAGCCTCCAGCTCACAGATTTTTGTCTTAGCTCAGGAAGGAGGGCTCCAGAGCAAAAAAATCGTCTGCTCACAACTTTAATGCCAGTAGCTCACAAAGTAGCATTTTTGCTCACAAGGCTCTGCAGCATAGAGGGAACATTGGTGACCCTATGGGTTAATTATCTCCAAAATGTCCTGTCATGATTAGCCGTGAGGGCCATGGCGTCCTTGATGGAGTTAATCCATCTCATGTTGGGTCTTCCTCTTTTCCTGCTTCCTTCAACTTTTCCTAGCATTATTGTCTTTGGAGGAGGCAAAACAGTTCTGGAAGTCACTGAAGGAACACCACAGAAGGAGAACAGTCTCAACATCCCAGTTAGGACAGACTTTTGGAGAAAGCTGCTCTTCAGAACTCACACACTGCCATACCATGAACTCCGGACCAACAGAGAAATAGGCAAATGACAGTTCTGGGGCTCAATCTGGCCCTCTGACTAGTTCCTTTTATGCACCTTGAGTCAAAGGGCTCTTTAACCTCCTCACCATTATGAACAGAAATAGGGTCTTGGGCAAAGTTCTCTGTTTATGCCATTCAGCTGCAGACTCTTGAGGTGCACAAGATTAGGAAACAGAAATGAGCAATAGAGGTGCATCAGGGCAGAACTTCACTAACTCTAATCTGGGAAAACTGGGTTTGATTCCCCACTTCTCCACATGCAGCTGCTGGTGTGACCTTGCATCAGTCACAAGTTCTCTCAGAGCTCTTATCACAAGAGCAGGCCTCGAAAGAGCTCTCTCAGCTCCACCTATCTCACAGGGTGCTTGTTGTGGAAGGGGAAGGAGATTGTAAGCCGGTCTGTGACTCCAAATGAAGGGTGGAGTATAAATCCAATCTCTTCTTCTTCACTAAGGGGGAAAGGAAGAAGAAGAGATTGGATTTATACCCTGCCCTTCAAACTCCATTCCTCCACCTCCCCACAACAGACACCCTGTGAGGTAGGTGGGGCTGAGAGAGCTCTGAGAAACTGCTCTTTCAAGAACAGCTCTGACAGAACTATGGTTTGCTCAAGGTCATCCAGTAGCTGTGTGTGGAGGAGTGGGGAATCAAACCCAGTTCTCCCAGATTAGAGTCAGCGCACTTAACCACTACACCAAACTGGCTCTCCTACACCTATTCTCAGGGCCTATCAGTGGGCAGAGCCAACATGACAACTCATTTGTTTCATCATGCTACAGATGAAAGGTAAGAAAGCGTCCTCTGCTGAGAAGGTTTGGTTTTTATACCCCACTTTTTTCTACCTGAAGGAGTCTCAAAGTGGCTTACCATCTCCTTCCCTTTCCTCTCCCCACAACAGCTGTATCTGAAGAAGTGAGCAGTGACTCACGAAAGCTCATACCCTACCGCATTTTTTAGTCTTTAAGGTGCTACTGGACTCTTACACTGTTCTCCCCACAAGAGGCACCTTGTGAAGTAGGTGGGGCTGAGAGAGTTCCGAGAGAACTGTGAGTGGCCCAAGGTCACCCAGCAGGCTTCATGTGGAAGAGTGTGGAATCAAACATAGTTCTCCAGAGTAGAGTCCGCTGCTCTTAACCACTACACCATGTTGACCCTCAACTGCATAAGTGACTTCATTCTGGAATGGCTGATCAGAAAAATTATTCTTGCTCCTTCTTTCCCTAACTTCTAATGCATGCAGATATCACATTTCCCAATACTTCAAATTTATTTATTTAATTCATCCATCCATCTATACCTGGCCTTTCTTCCCAATGGGGACCCAAAGCAGCTTACATCATTTGCCTCTCCTCCATTTTATCCTCACAACAACCCTGTGAGGTAGGTTAGGCTGAGAGAGTGTACGTGGCCCAAGGTCAACAAGTGAGCTTCAACGATACGAGTAGGGATTCAAACCTGGGTCTTCCAAATACTAATCTGACACTACACTACACCACACCGGCACCAACTCCTACAACTGTAAAAGCTAAATCTAGATCTTTTAAAAAGCTAGGATTTCACAGGGAACAAAAGTATCTCAAAGCACTTGTTGTTGTTCAGTCGCACAGTCGAGTCCGACTCTTCGCGACACACCACCTTAAATCTACATGATTTTTCCAATTGTCAGAAACTGCATGGAACTTGGAGATGAGGTTACAATGCAGGATAAGGAAGAAACTCCGTAACACCTCAGGGGGCAAGCTGGTTAATTATGGTGGAACCCTCATAACACACAGGCCACATCCAGGCAGAGAGCCATTCATGTGAATGTACAAGTTCGGGATGGACAATACTGAAAGTCAAAACTCCTGTTAAGTGAGAAAGTGATATCCTACTTCACAGGGTGGTTGTGATAATGTCAACAATTAAAAATAACTCTGCATATTTTTTTAAAACCCTCACCTTCCCACACAGGCGCACAAAAAAGCAATGAGCACGAACAAATTATACAGGTTTACAAGAGGTGCCATATTTTATAAAGGCACCCAATTCATCCCGCTGTTTTCCAGTAAACTGACTGGCAATCACAACCCCTTAAAGAGAAGGACGGTCGGTCTCCCTTAACTGGAACTATAATCGCATTGCAGTGGAGGATTTTTAAGGTAAAGTATTATTTTCAGGTGAGAAGGGAGCACAATGCTTTATTTCACTTTAAAAACAGCTGGATTCATTCTAGAATATCACAATGGCAGGCCTCCCTTACCAAGATAATACAACAGCTCATGGGTCCCTGTCGTTTTTTAACATAAGATTGGATCCGGCACATCTCCGCGCAGGCTTCAATAAATGGTGTCCCTTCAAAAAACCTGAAGAGTCAGCCCGATGATACGGATGATATGGTGCCTTGTGAGCAAGCCCGAGCAACCTTGCTCCGATTTTAAGCGCAGAGACTGCCTTCATACAGATCCTGACCCACCTGGAAAGGCTTCTCGACGGTGCCGCAAAAATGAGCGCCCTTTGGCTCGCAGCAATCTACCTGAAGATCAAGCCCATCACTGTTTGCCGAGCATCTCTCCCTCGTCCTGCAGCCGAGCGACTGCAAACCAGGAAGTTTACGGTCTTTGCAAGCTCTTTCCGCTTCCAGGGCATGACGACTCTGAGCGCTCACTCCTCCTTCGACTGCGTTCTGTTCAGAAGGCGAAGCGTTAGCGGGCGATTCCGAAACTCGGACTCGGGGCCCCGGCTGTTCCTGAATGGTGCCGGCAGAGGGCGCTCCTTTATGGCTCTGCAAGCCTTTGGATGCTGAGGCACGGCAAGGCCATAAGAACATAAGAAGAGCCCTGCTGGATCAGGTCAGAGAGTCCATCTAGTCCAGCTGCCTGTCTCACACAGTGATTCCTTTGGACGGCCAACAACAGGGTATAGAGACCGAGGTCTTCCCCTGATGCTGCCTCCTGGGTCAGGGATTCAGAGGTTTAGTGCCTCTGAATGTCAAGGTTTCCCTTAGTCACCATGGCTAGTAGCCACTGGAATTCACGGAGGAAGTCTATCTCATCCCCTCTTAAAGCTGTTTATTCCTGTGCGATTACTACATTACTTGGCAGCAAATCCCACATTTTAACCACTCTCTGTGTAAAGTAGTTTCAGATGGGGTAACCGTGTTGGTCTGAAGCAGTAGAACAAAGGCTGAGTCCAGTGGCATCTGTAAGCCCAACTAAGTTTTATTCATGGTATAAGCTGTTGTATGCAAGCACATATCTGCCTACACACAAAAGCTTATACCGTGAACAAAACTTTGTTGGTCTTAAAAGTGCCACTGGACTCAAACTTGGTTCTGTGTAAAATAGTTTTTTTCTTTTGTCTATCCTGAACCTGCTGCCCGTCAGCTTCATTGGATGCCCTTGACTTCTAGTATTTTGGGAGAGGGAGAAAAAATTATTTGTCAGCTCTCTTAACCCCATTCATAATTTTGTAGACCTCTATCATGTCCCACCTTAGCTGTCTCTTTTCTTAACTGAAAAGTCCCAGACTCTTCTTATTCCTGTGCGATTACTACATTACTTGGCAGCAAATCCCACATTTTAACCACTCTCTGTGTAAAGTAGTTTCAGATGGGTTAACCGTGTTGGTCTGAAGCAGTAGAACAAAGGCTGAGTCCAGTGGCATCTTTAAGCCCAACTAAGTTTTATTCATGGTATAAGCTGTTGTATGCAAGCACATATCTGCCTACACACAAAAGCTTATACCGTGAACAAAACTTTGTTGGTCTTAAAAGTGCCACTGGACTCAAACTTGGTTCTGTGTAAAATAGTTTTTTTCTTTTGTCTATCCTGAACCTGCTGCCCGTCAGCTTCATTGGATGCCCTTGACTTCTAGTATTTTGGGAGAGGGAGAAAAAATTATTTGTCAGCTCTCTTAACCCCATTCATAATTTTGTAGACCTCTATCATGTCCCACCTTAGCTGTCTCTTTTCTTAACTGAAAAGTCCCAGACTCTTCAGCCATTCCTCATAGGGAAGGTGCACTAACTCCCTGATCACCTTGGTTGGTTGCCCTCTTCTGTACTTCTTCCAGTTCTGCAATGTCCTTTTTGATAAACAAAGTTTTTATTTTCATAGGAAATCGACATTTGACATTCAATCATTTATACTTTTCCATTGTTTACCCCATTCCTGTTTCCTCCCTACCCCTCTATGGCTTCCCGCAATGCTTCCCCCCCAACTCCACCTTGCTATACTTCATCCATTATATCATTTTCTTATCGTTACAATCTCAAGATAACATCATTTGACTTAATATTGATCTAAACATATTAAATTTTGTTTCACATCCCAGTTCTTTTCCAGATATATTTTAAAGTCACTCCATTCTTCAAAAAACACGTCGTCTTCTTTGTTATTCAACTTTTTTGTGATTTTATCCATTTCAGCCATGAACAGAACTTTTTGTATCCAGTCTTCAATCTCTGGTACTTTCTCTGTTTTCCAGCATTGTGCATAAATCATTCTCGCTGTTGTTATTAAGTACCAGAGTAAAGTCTTTTTAGTCGTATTGACTTCTTCCATTTTAAGTCCCAAAAGCAGAATTTCCGGAGCTTTTTTGAAAGAGCATTTCAGTATTTTTTGCATTTCAATGTCGACTTTTGTCCCAAAGTCTACAGCTTTCTCGCAAGTCCACCACATATGGTAAAATAAGCCCTCATGGTTCTTACATTTCCAACATTTATTTGACATATTCTGGTTCATATTTGCAATTTTCTTTGGGGTCATGTCGTGGAAGTAGTGACAGACTTCACGTTCCTGGGATCCCAG